CCCATTCGCAGTGTCGGTAAAACATACTTAGTCCCTTCCTTTACATTGTCGCTGTCACGTGGGCCATGCCTTCACGTTGCCTCCATATTGTCCAGGCAGAGCTTATGCACTCGACGGAAAATGTGAAGGCACAGCTTACATTCGACGGACAATGTGTACAGATATTTCGTGTATTTTTCTAGCAATCAGTGTTTGTAATTCATCCAAAGCGATTATTATGAAATGAAATTAATCACTCAATAAGAGTATTGATAAGTAAATGTGGTTCAAATTATATCGTGTTTGGTCTCATTTTTGATCAGAACAATCTCATGAATATGTTAATCACTTTTCATACAGAAAAAGTTAAGAATAAAAACACCGATGTTTAAATCGCGCGGTTGCTTCGACTCTCGTTTCATCCTTCTCTTTTATTCGTTGTCCTTGTCTTCGTTCGGTAAACTACAAGGGCGGGCTGCAACTCTCGAAAACCGTTTCTCCTCTACCAAAACTGTCGCCATTCGGTACCAACCAGAGAGACAATGTAAGAAACATAACGGTATGTGCGGCAAAGTCCCAGGGACCGTAACGTCACGTGGTGGCGTCCCAAAGGGCAACGTCGACGAGGACAAGGCCTCTCCTCCCTCGTCTATTTTTGCGTCGCGGCTTTTCGGCGATTAGAATCAGTCGATGGGTAGTAGCTCGCGAGCGTAAGGAATTGAATGTCTCCTCAGCGATATTACCGATAAGTGGACTGAGTGTCCTCTCACTGTAATCTATTGCCAACCATTTAATAAATAATATTCCAACATTTTAATCTTTCTCCCCAATTTCTACATATATTTCATTGCTTCGTAATACTAATGCACTGACACATAGTATTTAACACTGGTATCAGAAACTGATATACAAAGGTTCATACACTGCAAAATAGGACATTATACTTTAAAACATTTACCTTTTTTCTTTTTATCAGATAATATTTAATTGAGTAACAATGAAACGTCCAAAAACATAACTGCAGGTAATCGATCATGGCCAACAATGTGATAAGTAGGTACGCTATCTTTTATACAACAGTTATTACTCATCAATAACAACTCGAAATATTTGTGCACGGAAAAGTGCATCTATTGCTCATAGATGATAAGACCATTTAACGCTGCAATTAACAATTTCATAAATGGTTGATAGTATTGTCACATATAACAGTACGAACACCTATCAACTAACCTAATAGAAAATTCTGTTTCGGTACACTTCGCGCGACACCACATCTGCATAATACACAATCAATTATATTCCTCAAAAATTCCACAACATTGCTATTAACATATATAACATTATTTAAAAATAACTCTCCAAAAAGGACGTTATCGCGAGTGTAAGTTTAATAATACCACAAAACATTATACGATCCTAGCAATAATATTAATTTTGTATGAAACAAAATCACCGGGTAAAAAAATTATCTGAGATCGTATTTGACCCATGTGCTGTCAAGATTGAAACGATAAAATGAAAAGGAGTTAACCTTAATTTTGAACACGCGTAAGAAAAAAATAATTTTTATCAACAAGACACGATAACAGATTACGGCATTAAATATTAAAATACTGATAGACAACCTGCGTGGGACGATATTTAAAATTCAACACATTAAGGCGAACAAAGGTTTACCGCAAATTCGCATAAGCAATGGCCGTGGAATTTGTAAACTTACTCACACGCGAAACCTGTCGATTACACTTGCGTCGAAGTTAAGCGACGTTCAATTGTTGGAACGGAAGTTGTATTAATGTGGCATAATCTTTGTTTTCTTTTCGCGAAACTGAATGAAACCAACTGATTCTCGCGTTTTTTTTTTCTTCCACATTTGAAATACTACAACATTAATTAAGTGAGAATTGGGAAACAAGATGACACGCGTTGATAAAATAAACGTTAAAGATAAACATGTTCTTGTGACTGCGTGATATAACTAGTAGATAAAAAAATCTCGTATATGTAAAAAAAATTTGAAAACAAAATTAAGTACTACAGAGTCTATTTCATCAAAATATGCACACAAAGAAGCAACATTAAAAATGATAGATTTATGAAATTCCCAGTATTTACATTGTTAAGTAGAAAATAATCTCTAATCATTCTTACTTTACTTGAAATTCAGTATCTCTGATTTATCGTATCACGGCACGCTATTTTCGAACATTATTACTACAGACCGAAACACGTAGTAGATTTATATCGGTATTGTATTGTTTTCCTATACCGTTTCTGCTCTAATGATAACTTTTTTCAAAATGTCACTCAATTTTCGCACGTGTTTGTGAAACACCAGCCAATATACAACCTTTAAATGTCTATTTCTCCCTGAAATCCGTATATGTAAATCTACGAACGGATAAAGTCATACAGAAAATACACATTATGTGTAAATAGTTGTACTCCAGTACAAAGAAATACTTCCATTAATAGTTAACACATCTTGCGCGGGAAGCGACTAAAGTCGTTTTGCGCGGACCACATCTTGAGCGGGAAGCGACTGAACTCGTTTTACACGGATTATTGGTGGATTATTGTTATCCGTGGGCTTTTGTAATGTTTTTACAATAAGATCGGATACACATGAGTACTAGGTCGACGCCCGTATATTTCAACATTAAAACGTGGGTTGCAAAAATGCATTCCTATGAATCTTGCAAAAAATACAGTAACTTGGAAGAATATTATTAATGAAATTATAACAAGTTTATTAGTAGGGAACTGAATTAATGATCAGTTGATAATAATGATATTTCATAAAAATTATATAAATAAAAGTAGATTTTAAAATGGACAATCATCTGGAATTTGCTGAAATGGAAAGTGAAAGAAGCACAAATAAAAACTGGTCGAAACTGGTCTTTTTATTCCATTCTTAATTTTTAAAGAGAAACTAAAAGTTTTACTTAAAAAAAAACCTAAAGTTCAAAAACTACAGCTATTTTGTGCAGAAGTAATTTTGCGTACGAATTATAAAAAATCGCCCGCTAGCCGGTGAGAGTTTGGCGGCAAAGCACCCGCGCAAGATGTGTTAATATTGCTTTTGTTACTCGTAAACGCTTATACTTGACCGTATTTTTGGAATGATACAATCAAATAATAGTGCACTCGTGCACGTGTTCACCGTAACATTACTAACACCAGGGCAAAGCATATGGCGGTACTAGACGTACTGACTACTACAAAAAATCGATGCGCGCGCAGATCAGCTCATCGTTTGATGGTGTAACGGATGAGCAGCTTTTGTTTGTATAGACGGTTAAAGAAAATAAATGCAAATACAAATACGAATTGCTCATAATGGATAGTATTTGAGCACTATTATTCTACACTGTATGCTAACCTATTTTTCTTGTGAAACTTTCAAATTATCTTTCTCACTATACTAAAACGGCAAAGAGGAAGAAAAAAAGAATTTCGAAAAAAGTTCGCGTTTTTTATCAGAATTTACTGTTGCATTTTGTAAATTTGTTTATGGTGCAATGCGAATAAAAATTGAGGTTAATTTCGGTGCAAATGTGTCTCAACAGATATTGTACTAAATGAATTGTCTCTTAGGGGACTTGTGTAATTCAGCATGGTGAATCAAGAGAAGAATTAATTTATTCAATCGAATGGTTGTGATCCCGATCGAGTATCAATAAAGTCGAAATTATAATTAATTGTTGTCAATTAAATTAGCGATCTTTGAAAAAAGCATTTAGAAGTGGGAAAAGTGGGAAAAGACATTAGTTTCTTTTATTATTTAATTAAACATCACTCTTCTATTCCATATCGTTAGTATCATTCGTTGAACATATCAGTTTATTTACTAAATTTACATTAATCAAATGACATTCCGTGCCTAATAATGAGGCAAATTTGTAAAGAACACGTTCTACTACTTTTTCAGACGAATGAAAAAAAAACATATTCGGAAGAAGAATGATATATTCACTTCTAAAATGGTCAAATTTTCATGCATAAAAAATGCAAAATACTATTAAAAGAAAACAAATAACTTGTTATTTCTCTTTTACGGGTCAATGTTCACACAATTTTTATCAGTCGTTTACCTTGAATACATAAGAAGTTTCGAATTCGAATTCCAGTGCGCAATGTATTCGCGCATGGCATGATGTTTGTACGTATGCACGCATGTACACAACAATATACTATCGTACGCGAAAGACAGCTTTCCCTATGATTATTTCGTTTAGCGGGTCTAGATATAAGAAAAACTCCATCTAAGACCAAAAGACGTCAAGGAATAATCCAGTGAGGAAAATTGCAATATCCATGTTATGCAGTATCCAAAAAGCTTAAGTGTCAAGTAACGAAAAAATATGGTAAATATGAATATTGTTAGCCGAAAAAACAAGTTCGTCTTCTTTACTCATTCAACTGAATCTTTTCCTTGATTCAGACTAAATAAGAAACAATACTAATTCTGATATTATGTAATTGTACTACCAGCGGTTTAATTTAGGTTCATTTACTTTTTCTTTTAAAATTTAGTTTAATTATGTTCTAAAAGTTATTATTCAGTTTCATAAGTAAAACACCTATTTGATGTACGTAGTATAGCTATGGTGAAAAAAGTATGCAAATATCATTTGTCATCTTCAACGAACGTGTGTATACGCAACGAATAAGAAACGTGTAAGTACCTATGTATGTAGTTCATTCGATCACACTACCTTTCAATACACAGCTAAGCATGCACATTGAATATGTTATCGTGCATTTTTCTATATTGATTAAAAAATGTTTGCCAACTTTAACTTACACAATTATTAATAAAAAAAAAAAAAACACAATATAGAATTACAGAAACAAAACACTAACGAAAATATAAAGTGATATAATTAAATCACAAATCAGGCTATTTATGACGAGGAAAATTTATGTCGACTCATTAACCATAAAAATAATAAAGATGTACCGAAAAATATGCACAATATAAGAGAAACATGTCCGTTACTCGCGTCATTTAAACTTTACAATTTTATAACATAAAATTTCTCATTTTTTGCACGAAACTGTTCACATATTCTCAAACTTTACCAATACCTTCAATTTCACTAGCAGGAACAATTAATCTTAAACACGTGTTTTGCTTAAACATATAGATAACGTGTGCTTAGAATACAAGGGACACTACTACTACGAAACTTCGATAAAACGTTTTTTGTCCACGATAGAGAAATTCGTACGATATAATCGAATATTTACCAAGATATATGAACAAAAAATCGTTAAACCACACTATAACCGCACTAAAAAAACATTACTTTTTTTGCAACATCATACTACTTACAAACTGTCTGAGAAAAAATTACTTATATTTTAATGGAAAATCCAATCGAAAGGAGAATTTAAATAAAACGATCTCTGGATACACATAAAACATAATTTATAGTTCTAACGTGTTCGTTGCAAGGTTCTGAGTTTCATGTTACTGTGCATTGAGCTTTTAATAATCAAAATATTTACCGGTTAGGCGAGAAACATTTTCCTGGAAACTGATTTAAATCGATGAATTTTTTATTTTATACTCCAGCTCCTTTATTTTGTGTATTTTCGTACCACAACAATTTTAGAATGTAATGAGCGTAATTAAATCCTTTCGAATAAAATTAATACCGTATGTCACTTTACGGAAAGATAGTATTTTAAAAGAAAATTTATTTCCAACTTATTTTGTTCGTTTAAGTTCGCGTTCTTTAAGAATTTTTACGGACAGTGAATATGATTACATTTATGTAGCTATCACTATACACTGATGCTGAAAATTATTTACAAAACAAAGATTACAAATAAACAATTATAAATTACAATTTTGAAAAATTTAATTTCAAACTGATTTAAGCCTTTAGATAATCCTTACAGAAAGTTAAAAATACTTTTACTAAATAAATTAAAAATTTATAAAAATTCGAAATTGGTAATTGTAAACTGGCAGTAGGAATTAATTTTCATACGCGAAATATGACAAGACTTAATTCATGTGAAGACACGAAAGAACATAAATATAAATATTAAGAACATAATCAGAAGGAAAGGTATAAGGTAAAAAGATACTACGAGATAAGATAAAATATTAAATATAAGGTACTATGTCATTACCATCAGAAATTTTAAAGACATGCAAACTCAAGTCTCAAATAAACAAGGAAACCGATGCCTCGGGTGAAACATGAGAATACGGAAAAACGTGGAAATTGTCGAATAAATATCTAATACATGATATTCGGCAAGTTTAAACTTTCACGACTGATTACGATTTACGAGAGTAAAAATCAGGAATGAAAATCCTCTTGGTATTTTAAAAAGGAAGAATGACATAAATTTTGGGGAAATGTGACAGGTCTTCGGACAAAGATTGGAAAATTGTAATAAAAGGTGAAAACTGAGAATACATACCACAAAGTGGGCCGAGGAAGCGGTACTTTGAGAACAAGTCGATGGAGGAAGAAGAAACAAGGTGGTTCACGGACAACCGCTCGTTTACTTGATTTGTGCACACGGAAAGACAGAGACTCGCACTGATAAGCGGGCAGTCGCGGCTGCCTGCTTTAAGTGGGCATATTCGTTGAACACGACGAGACAAGGCTGACTTTCAGTGCTAGTGGTTTTCACGCACGCCGCCGGCCCAGCAAAATGCAAATGGTAGAACACTGCAAGGCGCCATCTTTAGTTAGATGGTACGCAAGCGCCAACTTTACCGCCATCCTGTAGTCGATTATAGAACTGAAACTTAAAGAAAATACTAATAGTCAGTACTAGGAACATTTTGTATTTTCACTAAAGTACAGATAAAATGCATATGTGAACATGACTTTATTTTCTAAAAAACAGAAAAACAAAATAAAAAAGAGAAGTATGTTTATGATAAAAGATGACATTTTAAATTTTAATAGCAAATGTTTTGAAACTTAGTATTCATTCAAATATTTACCATACAAGTATTACTATATAC